TACTATCATTTTATTAGAAACGGTTACACCTGCACACCCATTTGGGAAAGATTGATATCATTATATGTTAAGCCTTTGTTTTTGTCCATTTGTGCTATTATAACAAAACACCACAGTCTGTAAAATTTTTAAACAATATAAATTCATTTTTCATATTAAATGAACTCTAGATAGGGCAAAAGGGAAAAGGGGAGGGGGGTATAGGGGTAGGAAAGACAGTGGAATTCAATGTCATCATTACTCCAAGTACCTGTATGAAGACACAAAGGATGGGACTCTACTTTGTGTACAACCAGAAATATAAAAGAGATATGTGCTGTATATGTGTAATACAAATTGTAATGCATTCTGTTGTCATATATAACAAACTAAAATGAAAATGAAAAAAGAAATTGATTTTTCATGCTTCCAGATGTTAGGAAATCCAAGATCAAGGTGTTGGCAGGTTCAGTGTCTGCTGAAAGCTCCTTGGTGCTGGGTACTGTGTCCTCTAGAGAGCACAGAAGCTACATCCATGGAAGAAGGGATGGAAATGCAAATTCACCTCATATCCTTTCATAAGATTGCTAATTCCATCCATAAGGCCAGAACTTTCATGACTCTAAGGTCCATGAAGTTCCCACCTCCTAATACAATCTCACTCTTGGTTAAGTTTCAACACATGAAGTTTGGGGAATGTTTCGACCATGGCAGCCATTACATCCATGAACATGGTATGTCTCCCCAGTAGCTTCAGCATGGCAGCCATTACATCCATGAACATGGTATTTCTCCCCAGTAGCTTACGCATGGCAGCCATTATTACATCCATGAACATGGTATGTCTCCACAGTAGCTTAGGCACCTTTTGGTTTCTTTCATCAATACTACATAGTTTTCAGTGTACAGATTGAGGACATATTTGGGTAGATTTATAACTACGTATTTCATTTTTTGAAGCACTTGCAAATTTTTACATGGGTATTTTAATTTATTCCTTTATGTAACTTTTACCTTCATTTTCTTGATTTATTGAATTAGCTACATGTTGAAAAGAGTGGGGAAAGTAGACATACTGTCTTGTTCCCAATCTTAGAGGCATTCAATCTTTCACCATAACATAACATTAGCATGTGGTTTTTGCTGAGATTATTATCAAGAAAATTCCCCAGTACTTTAATTTTCAGGAAGTTTTTCTATCTTGAATAGGTGTTAAATTTTGTCCAATTTTCTGCATTGATTTATATGATCATGTGACCTTTAAGCCTGTTAACCTGGTGGATTAAATAGATCAATTTTTAAGTACCAAACTAAGATTGTATACCTGGAAATAACTCTTGCTTGGTTGTGGTATAACATTCTTTTTATGTAACAATAAATTTAATTGGATAATATTTTATTAGGGGTTTCTGTGTATTTTCATGGGAGATGTGGTTTTCTTTTCCTGTGTCATCTGATTTTGATATCAGGCTAATCCTAAATTCATGAAATGTGTTGGGGGATGTTTGTTCCTTTCTACCTTTTGAAAAAACAGTTAAATTTATGTTAATTAGTCTTTCAATATTTGATAGAATTTTCCAGCAAAGTCATATACACCGAGAATGGTTTTTTTGGGGGCAGGGAGTAAAATTACAAATGTAACTTTTTTTTTTCAATTATCTCCTTCATGGTGAATTCTGGTATTTGGGGATTTTGAGAAATTGGTCCATTTCAGTTAAGTTCTCAAATCTATATGTGTGGAGTTGTGGATAATATTACCCTTTCAATGTCTGCAGGCTCAGTAGTGGTATCTTTCATTTCATTTCTGGTATTCTAACTCATTTTCTGTTTTCCTCACAGTTTACCAATTTAGTTAACCTCTTCAAATATCAGCTCCTTGTTTTTCTGTTCTCAGGTCCATGGTGTTTGCTCTTGTCCGTGTCATTTCCTTTTCTCTGCACGCTTTGAGTTTTTTTTGCAATCTTCTTTTTAATTTGTGGAGGTGGGCACTTAGATTATTTATTTGAGGGTTTTTTTTTCTTAATAGGTAATTTATTGCTCCGCAGTTCTCACATGACACTACTTTAGCTGAGAAATTCTGTCTCACAAATTTTGATATGTTGTATTTTCATTTTGATCCAGTCCAATGCATTCTTCTCTCGTGGGACTTCCTCCTTGGCCTGTGGGTTACTTAGGATCACATGATTTAATTTCTGTGTTTGGAGGTTTTCCTGCTATCCTTCTGTTACTGATTTCTAGTTGGTTCTGTGGTGGTCAGAATGCAGAACATACATAATTCAATTCTTTTAAGCTTTCTGAAGTTCACTATCTTGGGCCAGGACAGGGTCTAAGCCTGTGGTACCTCTGTGGGCACTTGAAGGCACGGTGTCCTGCTGCTGTTAGGTGGCATTCCCTGAATGTCAGCTATGTCCTGTTGGTGGAGGGTGCTGCTGAGATCTTCTGTATCACTGTGATTTTTATCTACTTCTGCTGGCAGTTTTTGAGAAAGGTGTGTTGAAGTCTCCAGCTGTAATTGTGGATTTATCTGTTTCTTTCAATTCCGTTCATTTTTGCTTCATATATTTTCAAACAGAATGAAGAGAATGATGAAGAAAAAAGCAGAAATTAATGAATTTGAAAACAAAACAAAACAAACAGGGAAGATCTCTGAAAAAAGAGTTGATTCTTCAAAAAGATCAATAAAGTCTCCAGGTCCACAGCACACAGGCACATGATCTAGGATTGCTGTGTCTTCTTGGTGAACTGACTCTGTTAATGTTATGTGACATCCTTCTCTGTTTGGCCATTTTCTTTGCCCTTTAGAGAACTAGTCCTGCTTTCCTTTGATTAATATCTGCAAGGTCTATGTTTTGCCATCCTTTCATGTTCAAGCGGCCAATATCACAGCATTGGAAGTTAACTTCTTATAAACAACAGTCAGGTCATGTTTTCAGTCCATCCAACCACCTCTTTTTGTTGCTCTCTTTAGACCACTTACATGTAGTGGTGATTCCTGACATAATAGGCCTTAAGTCTACCACTTTACTTTTAGGTCCTGTCGGCTCTCTGTTTCTTGTTTCTGTTTCTTCCCTCCATCTTCATGTGCATACCTGAACCTTTCTTAGATACCCACGTGGATTTTGCCAACTATCTTCTCAGTGGATCAATATATACAGTCTTTCTAGTGGTAGCTATCGCTGTTGCATGATGTAGATAGTCTTCTCATGTTTTCTATTTGTCTATTTAAGTGAGGTATTGAAACTTCTTCCCCCAAAAGGGGAATGAGAAGGACATCATTACCCTAAGTACATGTATGAAGACCCAACTGGTGTAACTCTACAACCAGAGATATGAAAAATTGTGCTCTATTTGTGAAATATGAATTGCAATGCATTCTTGTGACATATATAACAAATTGTAATAAATTTTTAAAAAAGAAAAGGAAACTTTATCTTTCTTAAAGTTCTATACCCACCCTGAGGTGTTATAAAATGATTGTCATAAACATTTCCTCTGTATATATTTAGAATCATCTCAGATGGGGTCATGCTTTTGGTTCCAACCACCAAACACTATTTAGGAAATTCAAGAAGAGAAGTCTGCCACATTTACCAGCGTTTTTATTACTGGGAACTTTCATCTTTGTTACTCTCTGGTTTATGTTTTCTTTTTGCAAATACAGGTGTGCTCTTGCATCTGCACGGCGTGTGGCACAGACACTGCCGCGGGCACCCTACTCTGCCCTCTTCGCCCCAGGTGCCATCCTAGCCATCTCCCTATCATGCACAGAGCTTCTCCCCTTCCTCCTGTAGCCCCATGGCCCAGCCCACTGTGCATGGACGCCTTGCTGACCTCCAGTCTTGGGCTATCATAATTAACACTGCAATTAAAAACATTGTCCGCATTGTGCCTGTGGACAGAGCAGCTGTAATTCTGTTTCTATTGCTTTTACAAATGAAATGGTGTCTCTGATCTAAAATCAATCTTTACCAGTCTGAGGGCTCTCTGGCTTGAGAAAGAATAGTCTTTCACACCTGTTTACAACCATGGATTCGGCCTTTAGTATTACCTCTGGGTCAAAAAGTAAATTGGGCTTATCGTTCTACTTATTCTGAAGCCTCAGGTGCACCCCCACCCTATACCACAGGATGTTCTGTCACATCTGGTTGTTTGTTCTTGACCCGCCCTCTCTCTCTCTCTCTCTCTCTCTCTCTCTCTCTCTCTCTCTGTGTGTGTGTGTGTTGCTAAGTTTCAAGAATGGTGGGCAAGTACGTTTTGCGGAGATGTGGCAGGGGTCTACACTTTCCCAGTATCGACAATGTGGGTCTTCATTTTTTCCTAGAAATTTGTAGATCTATCCTTTGTCTATTTTATCTGTTAACAATGGTGAATGGAAGTGTCTTCTTTATCTTGCTTAACTGGAGATCTGGTTGGGGGATCTTCCTGAGGGTCCCAGTGAGCTGAGGGTGGAGGAGGGATGGCATTCTCCCCAGGTCCTGGCCTGTAAAGGACGTTCAAAGGAGGACCCAGCCTCTCCAGAGCTCAAGGTTCTTTATTTTCAAACTCAACGGAGTGTCTGCAGGACCCCTGAGGCATCATTGCACAGCAAGAGCCCTGTGACCCCATGGGGTTGTCTGAGCCGGTCCCAGCCTCTGGGCCCAGGGCAAGCGCGTCCCTCCCTCCAGCGCGCTCCCTCGCTCCTCCGCCAGGGGGCGCGGCGGCGCCAGGAGCCGGGCAGGGAGGGACCGTGGCCTTGGCTTTGGGACTCTGGGGGGTTTCACTTCGTCCCCTGCTCTCTGGGACCTCGGCCAAAAGCCACGTCGAAATTTTCACAGACAATTATGTAATGGAAAACTGACTTGCTAAAAAAACCATTAGAAGTTCTCTCTCAAAGACCGTGTTAATTCTGCCAGACCTGTGACCTCCAGGACAGGTGTCCTGCCGCGCCTCGGGCTGTGCTGCTGGAGTGTGGACGGAGGCCACCCACAGAGAAGCGAGAAGACCCTCCAGTCCCCTGCGCACAGCACGACGGATGGGGCTACCTGCTCGGAGGACATCCGGCGCCTCGCCTCCTGTCCCTCCTCACCGCGCGGGGAACAGGGGGCGCTGAGCTGCGGCCCGTTGGTCTTGTGGGATGATCTTTCAAGATCCAGGGCACCCTAAATGTACACACACAAGAGAAAATTGTGCGTCAAAACTTGGGCCAGGATAATTCTTATGAGTTGGACTTTGTGCCCTGAGGCTCCCTACTTTTAAGAGCGCCCCCATGCCCCATGCCCCATGCCCCCTGCTGGGAGTGGAGTCAGAGCTCGGTTTGCCTGAGCTGTGCACACGCCCAAAGCAAAGCGTGGACCAGCCCGGGAAAGTGCAGTCAGAGGGCCAGGAGGGACTCCTGCCCCCCAGGCACCCTTTGCCCCACAGCAAGACCTTCCTGCAGCAAAGCACAAGCTTCTACAAGCTACAAGCTGGGTGAGCCACTCCTACCCCGCTCCCCTAGAGCACGGGTAGCCACAGAACAGGAGCAATTGCCTTACAAAAGAGAAAGACTTCCTGAGAAGGAGAGAAATGAAGAACCGGGCAAGATCATCCAAAGTGTATCCCGATGTCCGGGGAAGGAAATTGTCTTTCCAAGCAGAGAGACCCCGGCCTGCAGCAAAGGAGGCTCCATGCAGCAGAAGCCTGCCAGGTCTCCACCGCCCACCTAGGATTCTATTCCTCCCTGAGCCAAGTCCCCCGGCTCCCTCCCAGCACTCTTGTTCTGTTACTTGGCTTTCTTCCCTGACCAGTGCCTGGCAACAGCACTGAGTGGTCCTGGGCGAGAAGGTTTGTCGAAGGCTCTGGCGAGGAGCCAGAGGGCTGAGCTGGGACTTGTGAAGAAGAGAGCCAAACGTCACAGGGCCACAGAAAGGCGGTTTTCCTCGTGGTTTTGCCCTTCTCTCTTTCTCTACTGTACCTATACAAATCTCTTCCTAATGTGACCAAAATATTCCTTTTTAAAAATTGAGATACGTAGTTTACATACACAAAATGCACCCTTTGAAACACGAGTCAGAGGTGCTTAGTGATTTTTGCAGAACTGTGCGACCATCACCACATTCGGTTTCTGAATCTGCATCACCTTCAAGGAAGCCAGTGCTCCTCAGCAGTCAGCCCCGAGTCCCCTCTTCTGGGGCCTGGCCACCTCCAATCTGCCCGCTGGCCCTGAATATGTTATGGCTGGACATATCCCCAAAATTCACACATTAAGCCCAACCCCAGTACTTCCAATGATGGGGCCTTAAAAGTGAGGAAATGAAAACGAGGCTGTATGATAAGTCCCAATCTAATCTGACTGGTGTCCTTATAAGAAGAGGAAATTTAGTCACATGGGACACAGAGATGTGTGCTCGGAGGGAAGACCAGTGAGGTCACTGTGTAGAGGTGTCATCTGCAACCCAAGGAGAAGTCAGCCCTGAGGACACCTTGACCTTGGACTTCCAGCCCCTGGGACTGTGGGAAATAAGGTGCAGTGGGAGCCCTCGCTGGGGTGTCTCAGTGGCAGAGCTTGCCCAGCAGGTGTGAGGTCCTGGGTCTGTCCCCAGCACCTCAGTGGAGGACTGTGCTTGTGCTTTCCTCCCACGAGATTCTAACTCAGACCTGTTTGTAGAATGTGGGTCACACCCTGAAAGTGCCCTTCCTGGGTGGGGGAGGATCGTCGCTGGTACTCCATCCTGGGAGCCTGGTCTGCTTTGCTGAGTGCTGGCCTCAGTGGCAGGGTCACTCGGGAAGAGGTGAAATGCCCGGCGGTGGTCTGGGGAGACAGCGAGCTCCTGAGCCACCTGTCAGGAGAGGGACCTTCTGCTGCACCTGGAGTGTGTGGGGCTCTGTGCAGTGGATCTCCTGCCACCATGCCGGTCCAAACAGCCCTGGACCTTCACTCCATCTCTGGGCTGAACGAGGGTGACAGCCAGGCCTCTGACAAGTGCGGTTTATGACACTGCTGAGTCTAGATGAAGGCTTCGTCTTCCAGCGTTCCTTGGTCAGGACAAGACCCACCTCGGGAGCCCAGCCAGATGCAGAGTCCTGTTCTAGGCTTGTTCCCCCCCAGGCTGCCCTGGATCGTGGGGGGTGAGTTGCAGACTTCGGTAGTGTAAATGCTGTCACCCTGGGGCTTCCAAGCTTCCAACCTGAAGTCAACAGGCCCAGGAATTCCTCCTGCTCCAGCTCCTCCAGCAGGGACAGAGGGCGTCCTGGCCAGGCCCACCTGACCAGCTGCTCTGTGAACCAGCTGGACACACTGCCCTGCTGGGGAGCCTGGGGGGGGGGGTGGTCTAGACCACACGGGCTCTACTGTGTTCCCTGGGCTTCACCTCATGGAGGATGCAGGCCCATGCCCTGGTCCAAGGGTGATACAAGACCCAGCCAGCATCACAGTGTGTGGGACCTGGGCCAGGATGGTGCCAGTAAAGGAAGGTGCCAGCAAATTAAACCACCAGCTCCATCCGTCTGCAGCCTGCAGCCCCACCCCTCCACCTTTAGGCTGCCACCAGCCCACCACTGCCACCCCAGGCTCCTGTCCCAGCCTACCAGCCAGCCACGCCAAGCTCAGACCCAGCCAGAGTGTCCACTCTGCCTGGTCATGGCTGCAGTCCCCTCCCACTTCGACCCTCCACCCGCAGGTCTCCGGCCCATCTAGCGGCCCAGCCAGACAGCTGCAGCTCCTGACGGTACAGAAGGGCAGTGCAAACCTAGTGGAAGCTGCAGCCGCCAGGCAGAAGGGCTCCCTGCCCCAGCTCAGTTCCATTTCACTGCTGAGCAACTGAGGAAATGGCTTTGGTTCTGTTCCTGACTTTCGGCTTTTCATGTCCACTGCATCAGCCAGAAGGAAGGACTCTGGGATGAAGAGATTCCTACCAAAAGCATCAAGGCATTAGGCAATTCCTCTATGAAATGAGTCCTGAATACTTTGTTTTCTCAGACCTTACTTTTTGGAAGAAAACATGTTTTTCTATCTGAATGCATATTTGTGAATTTTAAGTCATAGGAACTAAGTTCCTGAAATAGCGTCACCACCTTTTAAGATTCTAATGATTCAGACACCTGTGGGTCTCCGAAGCTGCACTGTCTCGGGGCTTTGCTTCTGCTCCTCAGTGTGGTGCTGCACAGAACCGATGGACAGCTACCTTCTGGCAAATTCCAAGGAGGTTTCCAGGATCACATGAGGCGGAGTCCCAGCCAGCTCCACCCCCAGGGAGGGCATGACTGGGCAACTGAACTTCAGTTCTGAAAGGTCTCACTTCCCAACACTTGTGCAAAATTCATTTGTTTTGCTTTTCATCTTTATTCTGAGGTAACCAAGGCCTCGCACATGCTAGATAAGCACTCTATCACGGAGATACATCTGCAGCCTCATTTGAGTCAGGGTCTTGCTGAGTTGCCAAGGCTGACCCCAAACTTGCAATCCTCTTGTCTCAGCCCCCAAGTAGCTGGGATTACAGGTGTGTGCCACTGTTCCCAGCTAATTTCTTGTTAGTTGTACGCAGAACCACTGGGCCAGGGACAGCAGGAGGACCTGCAGGTCCTCCCAGCCTCTGCCTGGCATGGCCACCCTGGAACCCTAGAGAAAATGGCAGCGGGTTCTGTGAGAAAGATGGGTGGGGCGAGGACTCCAGGGACACGTGTTCTTTTGTTCCCAACCAGTTGGCCGCGTGGGCACCTTAGTCTCTCCTCGAGGTCTGCTGCAAGCTGGCCTTCAGCTGCAGCTCTTTGGGTTCTAGATTAAAGGCTAAAGACTCGGTGTTGGAACTTCCGGGCTTCATTTTAGGCAGGGGCTTGTTTTAATTTCCTGGCGGTGCTGTGGACAGTGAGGCAGCAAGAAAGCGTCCCTGGTAGATGGACTTCAGGGCTGGCCATGTCGTTTCCGCCTCCCCACGCCTGCAGCTGCTGCTCACACCCAGGGCAGGGCTTCCTCTCCCAGAGAGCCTGGGCCCCCTTATGCAATTGGTTATCATCCAAATTCAAGGCTCCCTAGCTGAACCTCCCAACTGGGTAGGTCTTCGTCTTAGAGAAGATCTTTGTGCACAGTGCTACTTCTCTGTGCGTCTCTGTCCAAGAGAAAGAAAGGAGCCAGGGGAATCAGAAGGAAGAAGAGGCTGAGAAGACACAGAGCCAGATTCTGACATCTGAGGCGGATCCTGTGGTCCTTTGTGAACTCGTGATCGTGTAGGTTTCTGTGTGGAGTTTTATATTTCAGTGAGTGATTATATGGTTTATGTTAATAACATCATTAATTACATTGATTGTATTGATGTGATCAACAACCATGGTTTCCCCTGATTCATCATGCTGCTAATCACCCCCAGCCCCAAGGTTTGTAGCCCTAAATTCTTAAAAAAAAAAAAAAAGTTTTCATTGTATAAACTCAATTTTGAAAACAAAAATAAAGATAAATTGGAATGTAACTCTAGAGAAAATTGTTTAAGAAATTATGTAAATTCTCCAAACTGGAGGAATTCCCCCCAGAATGTTTTCTGAACCTGGAGATGAACCGCTCTAGGAGATTTTGAAATCCGAGCACATTAATCCTGATCCTTGAAAATATGTATTTTTTTCATTTCTTTCTTATTACTTTTTTTAATAAGATGAAGAATGAAAAGCCCCCCGCACGTTTCAGCACCCCATCTGGAGCCTCCGCAGCGCCTGGGCACGTCCCTCTCAGCCCCGGTTTTTCACGAGGCCGGGGCTGCGGTTGTTCTTACTGCTCAGTTAGTCACTCGGAATGAATGGCAACACTTTCATTTTGCCTCTTTAAGTTCTGGTTTCCCTAACTTTCCCAAACTCTCTATTTGGTATTTTCAAATATTCAGATTTCAAGCTTATCCTTCAATTTGCTGTTTCAGGGCCTCTTGATGACAATGTTGAATATCATAATGAAATAACCTGGCCCCAAACACAATTTAACTTGAGCAGAAGGGGCTGCACCCTCGTTCCTTTTCCACCCTCCAAATCCTTTCTTTCTTACAAGAGTATCATGCTGTCCACTGAGACCTATGGAAACAAAATGCAGGTTGTTTCTTTTTTTCCCCAAGAATTATTTTATTTCTAGGTATGAGTACCCTTTGCAAAATGTTTCTCTTTTGATGACTGGTGAAGGAATACAAAATATAGACTGCAAATCTGC